ATGAGGAATAGTGCATGACAATTCAACTGATTCTTAAAGTTGTTTATAGTATATCATTTGTGACATATTCATCAATTTGACAACTTTGTTTTAAAATAATGTAAACATATCTTTGATTTTATCACAATTGAATTTTCTATAGAAATCTTAAATAAAGCAAAGATTTCAAATATATATCCATCATTCTATTTACTTTTGTTCCCCATTAAGTTTTGTTCATAAGTTGAAGAATTTGAAAAGAAACATTTTAGTACAAATGTACTAATGATGTACTAGTGGATACTAATGTACTCTTTTATCTTTTACATATAGATGTGTTTATTTGAATAATATAGAAGTGCACGCCTATAATTCAATTATAAATACTTTACAGTTTTATATTATCCTCAATTTTGATTAAACATATGGTTAATCATGTGTACAGTCTTCGGGTAGCTTTTGTTTGCCTAACAGTTCAGAAAGAGCCCTGGTGTACTCAATAACAATTTTAAGTGCCTTTATTACATATTGAGTTAATTTCATTTCATAGTAATTTGGATTGTAAATTTTATTTCTTCAGCTTAACTTAACGGTAATTTCATAAATTATTTTAATGTCGGGATGACATTTCCCAAAGTGGGGAAGTATTTCACGAGAGTAATATACCGACATGTATAATTTATTGTTTGTACGTATGTCTTATATATTGTTTCGTTATATATGCCCTGTACGTTTGCATTTGTTATATCATATATGTGCATGTCCTATATATTTGTCCTATTTATTTTCCAATACTTTTCTCATTTTCATTCGTCCTTTTCATTCATTGCAACATGTAACACTTAATGTCATTCTGTATAATTCATAACAACTAATTTCTTCTTGACGGGCCTCCTAACATATACTCACCCGGATTGGAAGGCACGCATGTGCACATTGAGTACACTTCCATTGGTTTGCGCCACGAAGTAGCTGTGTTGCGTTTTCTTTCATCCTCAGTAAATTGTTTTATTTGTTTCCGTGCCATTACAGGTAATTTTGGTATATTTATAACTCGTAATGTATTCATTCAATTACTGAAATGACATGCGTGTTGCATTTTGTATTTTGCACATTGAGTACACTTCCATTGGTTTGCGCCACGAAGTAGCTGTGTTGCGTTCTTTCATCCTTTATAAAATTACAGGCCGAAACAGCCCCTTCTTTATTAGGAGACAATAATGTAAAAATTTCTTATAAAATATTTTCTGTTTACATTTCTAAAATTAATTACCTAAGCTATCTCATTACAAGTATTTTATTTCGTTAACTTTATCTTGAAATGTATTATTTGCAAAGACTATCACTAATCTAATGTGTATAATAGTATTTTTGCTGCAATTTTGCCTATCTTTACCTAACATTATTAAATTAAGCTACAATTAATTTTCTTTTATGTCTTAGAAATTCGGTAATGCCTATCAATAGAATCTCGCAGTTTTAATGAATTACAAATGAAGGGGAATAACTTATGTAACTTTACATAACAAGTGTTTTAGCATTAACTTCCCTTTAATAATTCATGATTCTGATTTTCTACGTTTTTACATACAAAAAAAACACTAAACCGACAAATAAGCGAAATAAACAAAACTAAATGAAAACAAACTAGACTGAATTATAAAGATTATTTTTTGTTAAAACATTTCATCATGGTATTTATATTTTGTTATGTGTTGGAAAACAGACAGACAGCAACGTTATATTTTATTTGAGAAGGTACAAATATAGATACATTTGTATATATAAATAAAAATATATGTACAATATCTTATTCACATTTAACTTAACAAATCTACATGATGAATATACAATGCGTATTTAACAGTGACAATGCAAACTTTTTCAATTTTTTATTTAATTTCCAAAAAATAATGAAAAAAGCGGTTTCTGATTTATAATAGTTATTTTGTTGTGGGGAAAAATATATTTATTAATTTTCTCAAAATCTTTAATGTTTTATAGAGCTGCAAACAGGCTATACCGAAAAACCAATTTTTTATATCTAACTAATGTAAAAATTTTAATTTTTGTCAAAGTCTATAAAAAATAAATCAAAAGGCTTTGGTGCCTTTTTTTACGTTTTATAACCCAAAACAGTGTTTTGGCAGGAGTGTTTTTTATGGTATAGCGGGTAGCTTGTATTTGATGCATTTTTTGATTTATTTAAAAAATTCAAAAAACAACAAATCAATTGTGACGTATATACTTTGTTAAATGTGTTTTTTTGGATTGACTTGTTCATTGAAGTGCCATAAATAAAAGACCTCATTGTCGCGCATTATCTTTACCACTATTTTATACCTTTAAAATAAGAAAAAAATTTTTGGGTACTTAATATGAAAAATAGGTGCCAGTATGGCAGCCACAACGGTATCTTACACTCAGTCTGACTTAAAGTTCACATCTACAGTACTTAAGTTATTTCTTGCATGTAGACCTGATCGCCATCGTATATTTTTCGCTTCATTGTGATTCGGAATTCTTGAGAAAGCTAGTTTAAGTAATGCAATCAAACGTCCTTTACACATAGACGTTAGACGAAGTATCAGAATATCGCTGTCCGTGGAAGTAAAACAAACTGTAGGGTTTTTTGTTAGAAATAGAAATTGTTTTAAGTAATACAAAACTAATAAACTTGAAATAACTGTGCAAGTTTGGTTTTCCAACTGCCGGCCTTGTGGACAACGCCATGTCTGTTCTCGAAAGCGTGAATTGAACTCAGTATTGGTTATGCAGCGTAAAAAAATTAAAAACCGCATCGCTTTCAAAATTGTGAAAGCTCACGGATGATTGGCTGTTTGAAAGGTCACAAGAAGGTAATCCAACCCCTATTGGTGTTGAAGTCCGGTTTTTTTATAATTTTTGGGCTTGTGATAAAAGTTTAAAATTTTTTTTAAAGGTCTTTTTCCCTAAAAAATGATTTTTTAAAATTTTCAAATAAAAAAAAAAATTCATTGTCAAATTAAATTTAATTTTTTTAACAAAAGAATCATTTTACTGTAAAACAGTTTACTTACATGAAAAACGACCCTCTTTTTGAAAAAAATTAATATTTTAAAAATTTTTATCATCTGCGGAAGTTTTTAAAAGGGATCCCCAACACAAAAACGGATCAAAAAACCCAAATTCAAATTTTGGGTTTTACATTTAAACAGGGAAGTTACTTTAGTATTTGAGAAACTGTTTTTTATTTAAACCCGTTTAAAAAATAAAAAAAACCCCCCTTTAAACATGAGTGTTTTGGACGGTTTTTATGGAAACGATAGTTTGTTTTTGGACAGTACCGTCCATGAACACATGAACAGGCGCAATCAAACTGAGCCTGCGACATTTTCAATTTTGCCGTTTGGACTTTCTTTAGGGATTCATATTTACTCTATTTCATCGTCACATCAGCTTTGTTTGACTGTAAAAATTCGCCCCTTACATTCAATCAGAGATGTTATATTTCCGATCCTTGAAGATCGTTCAGAACGATATTATTTTTGTGTTTGTGGTAGTTTTAGTTTTTATTTTCCGGCATTTTTCTAGTTGAGTGGTTCCAATATTCCTATTTGAATAATGTTGAATCACCCTTAGGATATGTTGCCTGCTTTTTAAATTTGTCTTTAAACGTCTTATTTGTGATATGCAGGCTTCATAACCACTGATCCCTTTTCAAAATTCGATTTTGCTTAGTTCCGCCCATTGTTTTCTCATTTAGGTTACACACTATCTTTTACTTGGGGACCATACGTTGCTTTTAATGGCTTGACACGAAAGTGTCACATTGAAGGTTCGATTATAACAACCGTATGAACACATCTGCGGATATTTCTAAATTCAAAATTTCTCTTTTTAATATTTAAATGTTGAATTCTGCTTTAGGCAGTGCAAGGGGGCGTGGACGGTAGTTTGCACTTGACAGTATCGTCCATTTGCAGCCTGCAACATTTTCAATTTCGTCGTTTTTGTTTTTCTTTAGGGATTCCTATTTTCTCAGGTTTACTATATAAATGTCGGTTTAAAACCGGACTTACCAGGAAATGCTCTTCTTTGTCTCTATTTATAGACATAATTTTCTATGATATACTGTGTAGCAATCAGTTGCAAAATAAATTAAAAAAACTTACCAGGCGCACAATTGTTCTACCCGCAACTAACTGATCTACTTTCAACCAGCTTACGGGTGTGTTTAGAATTTAAGTCAATAATTTACAAAATAAAACGTTGCAACGGTTTTAAATTACAGAAGGATAAACATTGTAAATGCTTTACTAGAAGTTTTTTTTTGTTAGTCAAGTCATGTTATAATCATCTAGGTCCATATAAATGTACGAGCCTGTGACGAAATTCTATCTTTTGATGACATTTTATTTCAAAAACGCCCAAAACTACGATATGTGGGATGGTAGCTTTAAAAAGATATTTATTTTATAAGGATTTCACAGAATATTCAGATTAATGCTTCTGCATGTGTCACATGTCTTGACCAATTCCGTCAAAGCAATGTAAATGGCTCAATGCCAGTTAATCATTGTTTAGCATGCGCATAATATAACCATTAACATTTTCCATAATTCCCTGTAACAATTGCTTTTAATTCTTATCAAATCAAACTGCAACAATATGGTGCATAGCGGATTAGATATAAATCAAATTAATAAATGTTAAGTTTTGCGATATTTCTCTCAGAGCGCAGCAAGACATCGTTTGTGTATGATAAGCTCCTGAGAAGATTTACATTATGTCAAAACCGACGTATCTATTATCATTCGTTCTGATTACATCATTAGCTGTGGTTTATGGCCAGAAGGATGTTGCCGCATGTCCATTAACATGTAAACTGTTTTATGATTATTTCCATAAATTGTATGTACATTTTTGTTTAAAACGATCTCTGACAAATAGGTTCACGTCATAAGTAAAATTTTAGTTTAAATGATATGTGATGCATTACAATTTAACCTGACATTGAAATTTGCATTTAAGTTGCCAATCCGAACGAGATGTGTGTTTTAACTTGGATACTACTGGCGCTATTACTGGACTAATACCTGGTATATCGCATGTTTCTCAATGACGCCACTTATAAGTGGAAAACCCTGCAGCAGACAAATCGTCATAAAGGTGAGTAATTGAGATTCTTGTTTAAATTTCATTGCGTAAAATCAAACAAATATAATTACTCAAACAATGTAACACAGTAAACATGATTATATATATATATATATATATATATATATATAATATATATGAGCCGCGTCACGACAAAACCAACATAATGGGTTTGCGACCAGCATGGATCCAGACCAGCCTGCGCATCCGCGCAGTCTGATCAGGATCCATGCTGTTCGCTTAAAAACCCTATTACAAGTAGAGAAACTGATAGCGAACAGCATGGATCCTGATCAGACTGCGCGGATGCGCCTGCTGGTCTGGATCCATGCTGGTCGCAAACCCATTATGTTGGTTTTGTCATGACACGGCTCATATATACTTTGGTATACTAATTTATATGATTTGATTTGACATTGCAGTATCAGTCTTAAACCAGACGACAATTGACTTAGGCATTCACACGACTTCATTTACATACATGTTAGTACAGGTTTTGATAACATGAATAGTAAACTAAAGTCTTGTGAGCAAAATAGATCATTTTATTTGCAAATATTAGTTAAAGAAAGGTGTTATTCTTTGAATAAATTTATCAATATGGTAACCACGTTTGTACACTTTAAAAATGTTCAATCGAACTTTTAAGTGACCTTGAAGAAGCATTATTTCTTGCTGGTCTTAAAGCCGTGAAAAATATCGTTAACATATTTGAGTCTGTAGGATATTTGCATGAAGTGCAGTGAGAACTTCACAACGACAGTAGCTTATGCCTTAAATCATGTTAATGCTACCATTGAAATGTTTATATTTGCAAAGCGTAAATTTGTTCTTTGAAATTTAAGTAAAATGTATGCAAACATTCCTTATATCCATCTGTGAACAGGCACATTTCCTAAAAGGCACCTTGCCAGTTGCATGTCCAACCGACAAGAGAGACACATCTTCTATTTCGCTACCTTCACAGAAAATGCTTAAGATACAGCTGTATTTGTCGAATTTTGAACGATACAACCATATGTTTAATATAGGGGACAGTCATTCCAATAATGGTCATGGTAAATTACATTTTTCTTAATAAAGTATCGTGCAAATATCAAATTACGACCGGGTGCATAGCGACGAAAAATGATTTCTTATTTACATAAAATAATTGACAAGTTTTTTATTAGTAAATGAAACTACGAAACTACATGTATAAATTCATATTTATAAGATTCCGCTGTTTCGATATTTAGCTGTTGTTTTTTCTTTGAGTGTCAAAATAAGACTATCTATTAACGAAAGCAAGTTCTCGAACTATTTGAAATGATATTTTTATCAAAAAATTAATTTAACATTGTTTGTTTGTTTGTTTGTTTGTTTGTTTGTTTGTTTGCTTATTTATTTATTTATTTATTTATTTATTTATTTATTTATTTATTTATTTGGAAAAAAGCTTGCAATAATACTCGGTCAATATATCGGAAACACGTAATTGAAGAATATGAATACAAATATGTATATTTTTTTTACTTTTCATTTATTTTTCGGAAAAAAATCATTCAACATCAATAGCCTTGTTTGTATGTTTGTTTGTTAGTTTGTTTGTTTGTTTGTTTAAAAGAATACTCGATCGATTCAAGTTAAGTTATTTAACATTATAAAAAGAAATAATGATTTATGTTATCAAATAAATTTTGAAAGTTTGTTTGTTTTTGTTTGCTTGTATGTTTGTTTGAGGGAAAAGAATACTGGTCATCTGTGGGTTTTGTTTGTTATACTAGGTGGAGACTCAGGTCACCAAAGTTATGATTCAGAGATTCATGGACGTTATCCACACATAGGAGTTTATGGAAATGACCATTGTTTTGGTCTATCGAGCATGTAAGATATCTGTTGCCTTGATATTTGTTTTCAGTTTATGACGTATGACAGTGGAATACCATTTATTTTTGCATATTAAACAGGATCATCTACTAATTAAACCGTTGCTAGAAAAACCCATGTAGTGAAAGTCTATGGAGGGTTATTTATGCCAAAATTACATCTTGCTTTCTTACGTTACATCGTGCTTTCTAACTTGTACATCGTGCTTTCTAACTTGTACATTATGCATTCTGACATATACATCTTGCATTCTGACTTTTACATGTTGCTTTCTTACATGCACATTATGCTTTCTGCTGTGTGCGACTTGCTTAATTTTATGTTGATGTCGTTATTTAACGATCAATTATTATTCATTTGTTGATCTGGTATATTAATTCAATAAATTAACCTGCAACTGTTTGTATTTGGGTCTATTTACACAGCTTGAATGACGAATGTCATAAGGTAGAATGCGCATAGCCAAAAGCCGAATGCAGCAAGCATAATACAACGCGACATCTGGTGTAATAATATGTGACACCAATATTATGCTAACAGGTGGCGCTGCAGTTATATTCTCGGTAAAGTCCGTATTGCGGTTCGGATTCAGTTTACCAAGTTACGTACCTTTGTTTTAAAATTTCCATTTGCACTCATGGAGAAAATATACAAAACGATTTAACCAATTTTTATATTTATTAATGAAACTCTGTAGGTCAAATTATATATCCAGCTGACAATGACAAGTTGCACATTTCCAAATCAATGGTTTTAGAATTTTTTTTTTTTCATCAACAAAATAATTATATTGTTCAAAGTGCTTGGGCCATATAAAACTTCTTATTAAAATATTTCATCCTCTTGAAAAGTTCTTAAATTTTGACATTGCTTATTTCCAATACCTGTGACCATCCACAACATTTTTAATGTGTTTTTATTAATTAGGACATTTTCTTGCCAATTTTCAAACTAATTTTGTACACACGTTAGATTTTTTAAATTCAACTTGTCAAAAATGTCTTTTTTCACTAAGTTGAAATTATTCACTAAGGTGCTTTATGAATACGGCCCAGGTTATTGTTCACAGTGTCGGCTTAAAACTGAAGGAACTGCTGCCAAAATCAGCTGATTCTGAGAAAAAAAATAAAATAAAATGTCAAAACTGTCTAGTCTGTCAGACTAGACAGTTTTGTCTTTTTTTTTCTTTTGCAGCGGCACGGGCTACCTCTCTTCATTTGAATTTTTATATCACAGGTACCCTCTCATTTTTTAACACATACGTACCCGCAAGGCACGACATATGCTTTTATTTGCGTTAATCGTTAAATATGTAATATTTACATAAAAGTAAGAAATAATACATACCTATTTAACGATTAACGCAAATAAAAGCATATATTGTGCCATGAGGGTACGCTGCAAAACCGAAAGTAGGGTGTTTTTATGAATTTTACATTTATTTTTGACAATATACTGCCATTTTTCCGAAGATGATATGTAAATGAACATATTAAATATGTATGCTGCATATATAATCAAGCCCACGGTTCATTGCAGCCCGAAAAGTATGTCGAGGTGATGGGCGAGGCAAGACATGTCGATTTTTTGTAGCTTATTGTGAAGTTGCAGTACATGAAAAACGGGCACATGACAAACCAGCACATAAATAAACACGGGGGGGGGATCACGTGACTTTGTATAGTAATACCCACGAGAAAATGGCGACTGCTGAGCCCCGGTAAGTACCTTATTATGTTAAATTAAGGTGACAAACGTTTCTTAAATCAAAACAAAACCTAGTATATCATATGCGCTTTAACTTTCTTCAAATGGCAATACAAAGTGCATTATCTTACGTTTTGTGGTTTTTGAGAACATTGTTTGAATTGTGTGAAAATTGCACATTCAGCGATAGTAATTCGCACGAAGCGATATAACTTGGTACCAAAATAAAGGAAAATAAGCATTCTTTTTGCACTTAAGACACCAAATCAATCATTTTATTGACATCTGTTCTTGTAGAATTCCATATAAAATTTTGTTCGAAGGTCTGTAGCCTACAAATGTTCTTTGCAAGTGTATAGTAAGTAAAACGAACAATTTCTGGATAGTAAGTTACACGAAAACAAAATAGTAAGTTTCACGCACAGTTTCCAATAGCTTACTAAAATGTGACGAAACTATTTTATAATTATTTGGTTTCAAATTTGCAAGTGTGTTCCGTCTACGGTGACAGAGAAACAAATATCGAGAGAGTATTTAATAATAATTTATATTATTTCATAAAACATGGCACTTAACTTAAAAAAAAACTAAATGAGACATTGACATTGGTACTCAACAATGTACGTTACACTTGGCCCTTTTTCACGTTTGACTGAACCCACATCCGTTATCTTTAGAACTAGCTATATAAAGAAATAACTGTACAGAAGGAAATATTACAACACCATCATTTGCTTTTCAGTATCTGCATTTTGGACCAAAAACGCAAAGGAGAAGAACTCCGCCATATCACATTGATATTTAATGCCATCATAGAACTGGTATACCAAGTTTTTATTAAATTTATTCTTTTATACACTGGCAGATTTTATAAATAAACCCAAGAAGTTTTGTTAAACCATACGCTTATTTTCTTACCATGTGCAAATGTGTTGCGTCGTAAACTCTTACTTTTTGTTTGTGATAGAGTAAGTAAATAAGATATTCAGGGCGTTCATGGCCGAGTGTTTAATGTCCCTGATTTTTTATGCACATGCTTCTCACCGCTATGGATTCTAGTCCGACCAGAGTCCTTGAATTCTTTCATCAAACTAGCTAACAAAACGTCGGTGCTTTAACTCGGGTGTCCCGACATTGACGGTGTGATTTGAAACCCAGCATCTAAGATTGTTTTATGTAAATATTATTTTTCACTCCATTTGCCTTCACTTTAAAAAGTGTAAATATCTTTGACCGTTTAATTTCAAATATTCGTTTTTCTTTAAAGGTCAATTATGCCTCTTAAATGCTATCATTTTTATTTTTAAAAAAAACCTGTTTATTTTTTGGTATCTTGTTACAGTTTCCGAAAACATACTCATTTGCTAGATACTCAAACTACCTTTTGCATCTTTGGTTCTGTTGGAAAATGGTATATCTTTAGTGAATAAGTATTTCGTATGGAAGTCAAAATACTACTTTGTTTACATTTTGCTACCTTAACGACACATCACTGAATAATCAGCGCTACCTTTTTCAGGTGTAATAAAATTTTATCATGCGTTTTATCCATTATTTAAACATTATGAAACACATGTTTGACATTTCTAAAGAATCAAAACAATATGTATTTCTGAGGCACAATGTGCCTTAATCATAACTTGTATCACTGTATCATTGTTGTTTTTTGTTGTTTCTTCTTTCTAATTACAGTAAAATGAGGACCAAGTCACACCTGAAACTGCAGAGGTCAAAGAACTACTATCGCAACAGAAAAATAACACTGAGCCGTGTAATATCAAATCTCATCAAAATTTCATTTGATATAGTATGATTACAACCAATTAAGCATTCGTTCTATAGACAAAAAGTGAAACATTTCATCTTGAATAATTGAAATAAGTATTTTCTATCTCTTTACATATGGACTTTAACTTTCTTTTAATGTATATGTATGCTAATGGAAACTGTGCGTGAAACTTACTATTTTGTTTTCGTGCGACTTACTATCCTTGACTTACTATACACTTGCAAAGAACATTTGTAGGCTACAGACCTTCGAAAATATATTTTATATGGACTTCTACGATAACAGATGTCAATAAAATAATTGATTTTGTGTCTTAAGTGCAGAAAGTAAGCTTATTTTCTTTTATTTTGGTACCAAATTATATCGCTTCGTGCGAATTACTATCGCTGAATGTGCAATTTTCACACAATTCAAACAATGTTCTCAAAAACCACAAAACGTAGGATAATGCACTTTGTATTGTCATTTGAAGAAAATTAACGCGCATATGATACGCTAGGTTTTGTTTTGATTTAAGAAACGTTTGTCACCTTAATTTAACATAATAAGGCACTTACCGGGGCTCAGCAGTCGCCATTTTCTCGTGGGTATTACTATACAAAGTCACGTGATTCCCCCCCGTGATAAAACATTCTAATGTTCCGTGGTATATATCTTTTGTACGTGTCAAACCCCCTTTCCTTATTACATTGAAATTTTACTGGATTGTTATCCATCGCTGGTTTGTTTTTAGCAGAGAATGACCTGTGCATGTGTAAAGAGGGTACCGTTTGAGCAGATTTCGCAAAGAGGGTACCGATATAGATATGCACCGTGGTGTAGCATTAGGACGAATGATTTCATAATATTAATTGATGAGTACATAAAAACAAAATGTACAAAAATGGTCCCAAGAAATGGTTATAAAATGAATATTGCATGTTTGGCTGAAGATGCCTTTTTAGTAGTTTTCTTTAATTATAGCGTTCATGATATTGGAAATGTATAGCAGATCTTACTCATTTAAAACAAAAAAGTTTTATACCTTAAGGCAATAGTATTTGCAATACAAACATCATTGAGAATGTAGAAAAAAATGTTTATTAATATCTTCTATGACAAACAATTCATTTGATTTTATAACAATTTCTTGGGACATTTTTTGTACATTTTGTTTTTATGTACTCATCAATTAATATTATGAAATCATTCGTCCTAAAGCTAAACTCTCACAGATTGACAGACTAGACAGTTTTGCCTTTTTTCCTTTTTTTTTCTCAAAATCAGCTGATTTTGGCAGCAGTTCCTTCGGTTTAAAGCTGACACTGTGAACAAGAACCTGGGGCCGTATTCATAAAGCATCTAAGTGAATAATTTCAACTTAGTGAAAAAAGACATTTTTTTGACAAGTTGAATTTAAAAAATCTAACGTGTGTACAACATTAGTTTGAAAATTGGCAAGAAAATGTCCTTATTAATAAAAACACATTAAAAATGTTGTGGATGGTCACAGGTATTGGAAATAAGCCATGTCAAAATTTAAGAACTTTTCAAGAGGATGAAATATTTTAATAAGAAGTTTTTTATGGCCAAAGCACTTTGAACAATGTTGAACAACTGTTCTATTTTATAATTATTTTGTTGATGAAAAAAAAATTCTAAAACCATTGATTTGGAAATGTGCAACTTGTCATTGTCAGCTGGAAATATAATTTGACCTACAGAGTTTCATTAATTAATATAAAAATTGGTTAAATCGTTTTGTATATTTTCTCCATGAGTGCAAATGGAAATTTTAAAACAAAGGGACGTAACTTGGTAAACTGAATCCGAACCGCAATACGGACTTTACCGAAAATATAACTGTAGCGCCACCTGTTAGCATAATTTGGGTGTCACATATTATTACACCAGATGTCGCGTTGTATTATGCTTGCTGCATTCGGCTTTCGGTTGTGCGCATTCTACCTTATGACATTCGTCATTCAAGCTGTGTAAATAGACCCAAATACAAACAGTTGCAGGTTAATTTATTGAATTAATATACCAGATCAACAAATGAATAATAATTGATCGTTAAATAACGACATCAACATAAAATTAAGCAAGTCGCACACAGCAGAAAGCATAATGTGCATGTAAGAAAGCAACATGTAAAAGTCAGAATGCAAGATGTATATGTCAGAATGCATAATGTACAAGTTAGAAAGCACGATGTCGCGTTAGAAAGCACGATGTAACGATGTAACGTAAGAAAGCAAGATGTAATTTTGGCATAAATAACCCTCCATAAAAGTCGCGTGTTTAAAGACGTTGTTCCCACGCGCCTTTTATGAATGAGTTTCGTTCTTAAGCCGTTATGAACGAAGTTGTAAATTCATACTCTACTATAACTAAAAAAGTGCTAGATGAAAATATAAATTTCGTAATTTCTTTTCGTAATACCATTAATTTGTAATATGCAAGAAAAAAGGAACCAAACACCGGCTGTCGTCACAGACAGAAATATCTCTCGACTGAGCTTCGTTACCGTCGTAAACAGTTACCCTAGAGATAGATATTCGACAGCCATTGTAAGATTCTTATAGTATATCAAGTGTTTGATAAGTAATATGTCTTTGTATAAAAATTTGTATAATCTAGGAATAGATTTTAAAACAAGAAATAAAGAAACATTCAACTAAAATCCCACAAAAAATAACATAATTGATTTATCTTTTCAGTCATCTGTATACTTTATTTAAGCCAGCAAGCCTTATAAATGTGTGGGTCAGTAACGGCTTCGTCAAGATGTCCAGTGACAACGGATTACTTTTCTCCAACTGTTCATCATGTTTGTTTGGTCTCAGTGGTCAATTGGATGCGGAAGGAATCGAAAATGAGGACATTTTCATTTCTGCAAATAGAGTGATAAACACGTATATTGGTGGGAGAGTAGGATATGGAATCTGTTTCATGAAACTGCGTTGGGTGTCTGGGCCAAATGAATAAATTTGCGGTTACCGTTATTCATGTATAAAACGAATCAAGAGAGAAATGACTATTATAGCACAAAACTTTGTCAATTCTGTTTTTAACATGAAATAGCTAAATGTTTTGCCCCCACAACAGTTGTTTTACATTAAAAATGTCATTAAAAAGTGTATCGTCGATATTATGAGAATTTGAATTAGTGGTTACCTACCAAACTTTTTTTATTTTGTAAACTCAAATTTTCAGAGTTTTAAACTCAAAAAGTTCTTGCCAGTAATATAAGTTTGCTACAGGTTAAACGCCATAGGAACATTTTAGTTCGATTGTGTAGGAAGCTATGAGCTTGTAGACATACTTTCGAATCCGTTCCTGGAACCAACCAGTACTAAGCAATTAGTGTAAAGTTTCTTGCTCAAGGGAACAGCGACTTCTCCTGACGGGGATTGAACACATGCGGCAAGCGATCATTAGATTAATAATCCGAGGTGTTAACCACTCGGCCATGCCGCCACTTAGGCATATTTTTTAAAATAATTACAGGAAAATATCCCACAACTTACGCTCAAACTTGTTTGACCGCCTACACCTTATTAGCGATAGCGTTGGATTTGTAATCCATAGGAATCGCTGATCCAATCTGGGGTATCGAGTCTAATGGTCATTTGTCTCTCATCACTAATTCAGAACTCATATGCGAGTAGTCAATCACTAGCGGAGGAATAGGTAGTTACTTAGTTTATCCAGGAAAGCCGATAAGGTGAACAGACCACCGAAATATGACAAATGAGCCGTGTCACGACAAAACCAATATAATGGGTTTGCGACCAGCATGGATCCAGACCAGCCTGCGCATCCGCGCAGCATGCTGTCCGCTATCAGTTTCTCTACTTGCTATAGGGTTGTAAGCGAACAGCATGGATCCTGATCAGACTGCGCGGATGCGCAGGCTGGTCTGGATCCATGCTGGTCGCAAACCCATCATGTTGGTTTGTCGTGACGCGGCTCAAATATGTGTTAAAATCGGCGTAAAACCAAGATACACAAACAATAATGAAACATCTTTTATTAATGATGCAAAGAAAATGATACCACAATGAAGCTCGATTATGTACAATTAAAATACTAAAGCAAGTACAATAAAACGTTAGTGTATTTCTGCTTAGTAGATATTATCCTAGTGATTATGCCTTGTTGTTGGAAAAAAGTTGATATCTTATTTCACAACTCTTTAAGAAAAAGGTATTTTTACTGCTGGTTAAGCTTTTGTGCGGATACCAAATAAAACAAGACAAATCATGTCACTATGTGTATAATGTAAAAGGTATACACAGCTAAGTTTTTAAGTGTATCGTTATGAAAAAAGCTAATCATGTTCGATATAATTATGTATATTTATCAATAAACATGCTACATATCTTGGGGGCGATCGTGGCAGAGTGGTTAAGGTAGTTGACTTCAAACCACTTGTCCCTCACCGCTGGGGGCTCCAACCCCGACAGGGACTTTGGATTATTTCATACGCTGAAGCTGGAGGTTCTACTCAGATGCCCGTTCGTGCCTGAACTAATGCAAGGTAGGGTACATGATACCTTCCTTCAACAGTAAAGCTGGAACGTTGCCATATGACCTATGATGGGTCAGTGTTACGTAAAGCCATATCGACCAAACAAACAAGCTACATATTTTTACTGTAATGTTACCGGTGTATTGTTAAGTTTTTATTCAATTTTTATGATGTGAACAAAAATGACACAGATCATCGGTGAAAAGCATTTTGCTGATAAATGTTTTTTTGATGATTTTAATCATAAATTTAAAGCAATATTTGTTCAGGTTCAATTCAATTTAAGTACCCATAAAGGTCCTTTTTATTTTCTGTTTTCAGCATATAAATGAATTTCAAACACACTACGTCTTGTATAGTAGTATCGGTTTATATATTCTTTTTTTCAAATGGATAAACTTAATTAAAATGATATTCTTCTTTCACGTTACGTTAATCATTACCTGTTTATCAGACAGAAGGTGTTATTTTTGTCTCATGAGTAGGAATGTATTTACTTGACATCAGTAATAAAAAAGAAGTACTTTCGGTAATAAATGATAAGAAATGGCTACGGATATAATTTGTTTTCTATTAAGAAAGTAAAATAAATCCAAATGTTGCATTTTTTACATTTCAAATTTCATTTAGAAAGTTAATTTAAATATTATTTTGCAGAACTAAGCATGCCAGTTGGTTAGTATCATAATCGACTGAGTCAATGTAGAAAAAAGTGCCTACATTACCTAATTAGGGAAAGAATCACATTGAGTTATAATCACTTGTACCATGTGACTAATGGAGTGAACTAATGGTCTGAAATTTTCAAAACCTGACCTATAGTATGGTACACAAATGTTGAAAAATATTTTAAAATCTTCGTGGAGACCCTTTTAATAAAGATAAATTCAAGTATGACTACTATATGCAGTCAGCCAGTTTACGAAACGAATATTGCGACTTTTTAAAATGATACGTAAATACAAATGTTTTAAACGTTTGATACCTTCCAATACGCTTAAATTTACCTCAATGTGTATCTTTCGTCTTTAACAGATTACCAACCTATGCAAATATCTCGGCTTAAATGATCGGCATATTTAATTCAACATGTTGCTTAATCTTTTCCTTGTATATTATGTTTTGGATTTACGTAAGAGGATTTCTGATAATGCAATAATATTACTGGTTAAATAATATGCCTGTAACAGTTTATAGCAATTGGACAATTGAACTAAAGGCAAAATTGATGAAATTAATCATCAGCTTATCAAATGAAAGTTTTTTCAATAGCATTTTCTCATATATGGAAATGTACATGTTTTCATCGCATGCTGTGTTGTCAAAATGTATTGTACGAAGAAACCACAGTAACTAAAATTATATCCTCTTCATTTTTTAAACTTAATGCGACATATGGATTAAAAGGCCATGTGGCAAAGTCAAGGGTAATAAAACAATATCGAAATAGGCATGCTACAACCTCCCATAGGAAAGTGATGGACTCACAAATCACATGTCGTTTGAGCTTATCACGGATCGAAATTAAATCATTTCAAATTGATTGTACGTGGAAATCACCTTTATAGTCACCCGCACTAAAATCAACGCTGAAGTGACACTTGAACAAAAGGGAACCCAGTAGGTCACCCACACCCAGCATGCGGCTAAGTTTATTGACTTTCTGCCTTAAGTACGTATAAGCAATGCTTATGTTCTAAATGTGTTTATTTCATTCAAATAATATTATACATGAACATAAGAATATACGAATTTTCGTCTATGAAATTAAAGCAACATTGTGTTACATTTCTACCTATATTTAGTTAACATTGTGTAATAACTGTCAAATTTCCAGTCAACGAAATGAATTACCGTTACGGTTTCTTTGAAGATAGTTTCTATTAAAGTAAACAATAACGAAATACAAAGTAATTTACTTTCATACATTACAAAAATATAATTACAACACATTAAATCATATATACATCAGTGATAGCACTTATTATCACTTATAAAGGAAAAAAGATTAGACAATTATACATGTAGGTTATATTTTCTTTGCATGTAACCAATTCAACCAATTCAAAATTCCGCATACCAAGATATATGAGGTAAATTAAAAAAATAACAATACGTATCAAGGAAAATAGAAGGAACGACAATATTTAATGTAATTCATTAAATTTTTAAGTTCTAATACACATCATTCAGCTTGTTACTATTTTATTTGATTCTTGATTTTTATAGTATTTCAATGTTAACTACTACTTTATATATTACTAAGATATTTTTTTAAACAAATGTGTATTTTTCAATATGAATTTGCACAATATGAATTTAAACATTAAGTGTCTAAAATTATCAATGTCATTTACGTCAAAATAAGATTCATTCTTCAAGTAATTAATGACTATTATTACAAAAAAATATTAGGACTATTATTTATGAAAACTATCTCAAAAAAGAACACAATTCACATAAGTAAAACATATCTCACATTCAACTGATGAATAAATTTGTTGCGTTTTTCTTTCTTTCACATTGAAGTTTCATGTCTAGAGAAACAATTATTAAATGAAAGTGTTATCTTGTTATCTTTTCTGTTGTTGTGTGTGTGTGTGTGTGTGTGTGTGCGCGTGTGTGCGTGTGTGTGTGTGTGTGTGTGTGTGCGCGCGCGCGCGCGTGTGGGGGGATTTCTTTGTTGTTGTTTTTTTGTTGCTGTTTTTTTTTCATGATGTTGTTTTTCTTTGTTGTCGTTTTTCCAATGTTCACAGTTTCTATGTATGTCTTGAAAATCGCATGGCTTTACTTTTGTAAATCATCGAAGATTTTGTTGATAACTAAGTTTTTCACTTGTGGTCTTTTCTGTTTGTCAATTTGAAGACAACTCTTTGTCAAATCATATATTGAAGGTGACAAATGTGCTGGGATCGGCGGTGGATTTTCAGCTATTCCAATCTAACAATAAACAATAAGAATGTTCTGTATTTTTATATTCTTATATGAAACTTTCTTTAAATCTATAAAGACGCAATTAAAATTAGAAATTAATTTTTATAGGTGTGTACATATTTCAGTTAAAGTTTTCGCAGAAATAATTTGGTTGTTTTGTAATTTCCGAAATAAGCAAATTGTAGAAAAATGTTTACCTTATATATAAGAGTCATCTCTTCGTTTTTGTAGCCACTAGCGTCCCAAGGTAGTTTGCCTGTAGCCATTTGTATAATACAACAGCCCACGCCCCAAACATCACTTGCAGCACTATACAAATGGTCCCGAATAACCTTTACAATTTAACAAATGGCAAAGCTTCATTTTATTAAGAATTATTAGCTACAAACGATATAATGTATTTGTTAACGTACTTATTTGTGAAGACTGTATTACACTTGTTCAATAATATTCTTAAAGTATTAATATATTTTTATTCTTTAATGCCTTATGCTAGACGTTCAATAAAAAGTTTCGATTAAAAGAACGGCTTTCACTCACTTTGGTTCTAGTTCAGACCGACACCGGAAAAGTCATATAGCAACATTCAAGCTTGCTGATGACAGAGGGCCTCAGGTATCCCACTGTGCATTATTTCAGGCACTGACGGTTACCGGAGTGAAAGTACCAACATCTATAATCTAGTTTAAAAATCGACTTAAATAAAATTTAAATGTTTTTTTTTCAAAAAAGCGACAATTCTACCTCTGGCGACATAAAAGGCACAGTTCCTACAAGCTGCTTATCTTTATTCCCATTGACAATATCTTGAACCTCAGTTGCACAGCCGAAATCACATATTTTCAAGTCATATGAGTCTTCAGAAAGAAGCAAGTTCTCTCCTAATAAAGAAAACAATACAATAAAGTAAAGTGAGGAAATTGTTTACTTTTTCTTGTGCATGTCACATTCCACATGCACAATTACTTTAGTCACCTCCTTTCTTTATCAAATAACATATTTTCAAAATGCTTTACACAATCATCAAATGTGTGTAACAGTATTGTTTTGCAAAAGGTCCCGTGGTTAACATTTAAATCGTTATTGCATTAACGTGTTTATGAAGAAATACAAATTTAAAATGAAAGACAAACAATTCTTATATTTACAAATTTCTTTTATTATCTAATAATACACGACTTTCAGGCAGCAAAAGTATGATAGTAAAGCGAAAAAATACTACGAACTATAACAAAAAAGTTGTTTGATAAGCATATTACCTTTTAAATCTCTGTGAAGTATGTTCAAAGAGTGTAAGTATGCCAGACCATCTAGTATCTGAACAAGGTAATATTTAATACGGTCATCTGTCATTTCTCTCGTGTTCTGATGCACAAAGTGACTGACAGTCCCACCTGAAACAGATAAGGTTAATATAACATACATTTGTTCAAATAGCCGTCAAATTAAACAACGTTTGCATACGAACTGCCGACAGCTTTACCAAAAATAAACATAATTTGAGTTTCGTTTAAACAGTAAGGATGTTCGCAAACTGAAAAATATTAAGCAGCTGATTGGTAGCAGAACATACGGGGAATTTAATCAGAAAAATCAATAATTTAAATCTTGGTAAGGGGTGAAAGTTAGTTCAACCATACTTTTTGACACTTATTCATGCAAGGAAGACTATTATAATAATTTAAGTTTCATTTCAATATCAAATAAGTAAGAACGATGAAGGTACGAGGATTAATCAAAACGTTCTCGGCCCGATGTACTTCCGGTAGTCAGAGACCCTAACTAATGGTCTTACTTTTCTATATAATCGCCCTCTACATCAATGCACTTTGCCCACCTGTGCTCCAACTTGTTTAACTCTTCAAAATAGAACTCTCTATTTTGGTCCTCAAAGAACTCATTGACCTCCTCCATGATACCTTTATTGCTTCCAAAACGTCTACGACGTAGCTTGGTTTTCAGTTTTGGAAACAGGTAGAAGACAGAGGGGGCAAGTCCGGAGACAATGGGGAATTGGGAAGAATTTCAAATTCGCAGTCGTAGCAGCAGCCATCGCAACTTGGGATGTGTCAGCTGGCGCATTATCATGAATGCCTAGTTTCAGTTTGCCTTTACATTTTCGATTTCTTGATCCAGACGTCTCAATTCGTCTGCAAAGTATGTACCGTTTATGGTACGACCTTGCTCAAGATAGTCAATCATGATTATCCCCTGGCTATACAAAAAAATGAAGCCATCGTCTTCCGTGCTGATTGCACCCTCTTGAATTTCTTCGGAGGGGGTATATTCGAAGCGATAGACCTATGTTTCATCCTGAGTTACGAATCAGGTTCATCCTCGTAGCGAGACAAAAGATATCTTAAAATGTCAAGCCTGGTCCGTTTCTGGTCGTCAGTCAACTGCCTGGGACCAATCTAGCGGAAATTTTTGACATGCCATAGACATCAGTCAGAATTGCCTGAACTGAACCAAAGCTTATGCCCACTCCCCTAACATTGCTTCGCAGGTCTTGCCTTCTGTCGCACATGACCTGATCGTGCACAGATTAGGCAGTTGCATCGTTGTCGGCCTCATGGCCGCACAGGCGGCTCATAATTTCCAATACTCTCCCTGCCTCTCTTAAATCCAGCAGCCCATTTTTCACAGTGCTATAGAAAGGGAACTCCTTCCCAAGTGTATCCATGAAGTCTTCATTGATTTCCTTGGGGGACATCCCTTTCTTACAGAGGTACTTAATGACGGCTCTGATTTCAATTTTCTTCATTCGGACACACTCTATTACAGATCAAAGTGTGTTTTATGTTACTTAATCTGTGTAAAACCGCGTTTTACTCTATCACATGTATCAGTTATCTTCAATAACATATCGGTTTCGACGTATCGTGTGTAAATGTCAGTGCAGTGGCTAGAAGTATATCGGGCCGAGAACTTGTTGATCATATCTCGTAATTTTACATTGATTATATAAGTTCTTAAAGACAGTTAACGTTCCCAGTCGTGCTATTTTAGAACATATTTCAGCTTTTATACAAATTACAAGAAGGTGAATGGTAAAGGCCCGTTAAAACATTATAATGATTTCATTTTCATTTCAAAAAGTCATGTTTATCCTTCACACTATGCTTTGTCATTATTCTCTTTAAAAAAACTAAGACTTTTACCAGACATATATTCCATGGCTATGCAGTATTTTCCTTGCCCATTATCAAGATAATCCCAGAAGCATCGGACGATATTCAGATGATCAAGTCTTCTAAGCATCTGAAATTCCTTTCTCATTTCCTCTTCCTCTTGATTGTTTTTTCTTATACTTTCAATCTATAAAAATAGATAAATCTAAAGGCATTTTTAGCTATACTGTATTATGACAAGGTTTTTGTATAAAAAAATAAATTTTATTATAAGCAACGTGTTATTATAGTACAGCTATTCATATTAACATAATTATGTCATTATACTAAATAACGCCTACCTCCTTGATTGCAAAATTTAAGGTTCCACCATTTTTCAAAGGAAATTCAATTTGAAAGCATTTTCCAAATGCTCCTTTTCCAATCTCCCTTATTTTCCTTGGTCCTTTCTGAAATTGATTAGAGCATATATCAAATAAATAAAATGTTATGCATATAAGTGAAAACATCTTTTAAAAAGAATAACGATGTTATTTAGTTCTTCACATAGTATCTAAATTGAATACAAAAATGATCTTAATTACATTTTCTATTAAATGATAACAAAATAAAAACATGAAATACGTACCACGCTTTTTAATTTCAAACTGACGATATCTCCTTCGTTTGGTATTGGGTGATTATTAACGAGCACCCTGTCTTTTTGCCCCGTTTCCTGCTTAATAAAACCTCCTTTAATCTGTGAAATGGCCAGATTGGCAAGGTATTCTTTATTTAGGCCTGATGACCTCTCAATACATATTTCTTCTTTCTGAAACTGTGGCTGTTCGCACGATTGAAAATCATCATCTGCAATAGCTTGCTTGTGATGCAATTTTTCTTTACTTAGCCCTTTTGGTGTTTCTTGGGGTAATTTGTCGTTCTCTTGTGTGAAATTGTCGGTAACAATATTTTCGAACCATACTTTTGGCTGCTTTTTACTTTTTTCTTCTTTTAGATTAATAACACTGCTTTGTCTGGTGCACTTTAGAGCTGCTGTAAAGAATTATTTTTATAATCAATTATAAACTTGTTGAAGACAACAATTTAGTATGTGTAGAATTATAGCATATGAATGTTCTATACAATTGCGAAAAGAAGATTATAATCACAGAGAAGTTATATCAATAAATAAATGTTTTATTAAATAATATATCTTAAGTCGCGTAGCAGTATTCTATAACTATCAGATTGACAACATATTAATTATAGAAACTGCTCTTAGACTAAAGTTATCACAAATCTCTTAAAGCATATTCTGATTACTTACCTAAATCAGTGTCTGTATTTCGAAAGTCGATTAAACCCAAATCAGCTCCATCCAAATCCTCTACAATGTTATCAGAATTCCATTGTTCTTGTTTTGACTCAATGTTTTCGCCAAAGCTGTATTTAAACGCCTTCACCTTTCTAAAGTGACATGCATCAATCGGGATGGCATCACTTTGATTCAATATTGAAAAGTCCTCATTTTCCTCCACTTTAAATCCTTTCTCTGTTTGGAAACATTTGACTTTGTCGGAACCAACACTTTCTGATGCCATGCTTAAACCTGTGAGTGAAATGTTATCCATTTTATCATTTGAAAAGATCTTCATAGTTCGACCTATTATATCGCATTCCTTTTGTTCAAGGCTTGAAGGGCATTTTATTAATTTTCCCTTGTAATTGGAAACGCTTGTGGCGTTCATTTGCTACACCTGAACAAAAATAAACACAAATAAAACAAAATTCGGTGAACATATATAAGATTGATAAAATCATTTTAAATGGAATAACAGTAACACTCACGAGACTGGGAATACCTATCTATATATGATTAAATTGGTATTCCTTGACCTATATTTTAGCTAGATAACGAGAAAAAATATAACACTTCCAGCCAAAACTTTACATATATAAAGTTACATTGTAGGTCAACAACTACCAAGCTTAATTTGACGTTGAAAAAGAAATACTTTTGTATTCTTGTCAAAAATGCAACCATAATAAATAGATTTACTTAAATTAAAAGAAATCCCAGGTAGATCTCATGTATAAACGACATGTTAATTGTACCATGAACACATTTCACAATTTAACATTCGACTATAAACTTCATCAATATTAATAAAAATGATAATTTGTTTTAAAAATCATACATAAATAAATCGTCAATTTAAACTTATAGTACTTTTAAATCACAAGAAAAATACACTTTACCTAAGATATCTTATATATTTATAAAAAAATCATTTTTCTCTCCGTTTCTAACATTTTGTTTTAAACCAGGAAGAAGAAATATATTGGCTTATCGATATAACGTAAATTTTGTAGATTAAAACAAACAATTTCGTTAGAAAATTGCCGTTATTTTTTATGTATGCAGACTATATCTCAAAGGATTCTAATATTGATCGGGAATATCCGAGTCATAACATTATATAAGTACCTATAAATGAACCTGAAACTACACTGTCACGATTCATGAGGTCGTCATAGTATATAAGATTTCAATCTACGCAGTTTAAACAATCACGTAAGAGGAAAAATGTTGTATTTTTATTCCTTATCTAGACAATAGAGGCAAAACTATAAAATAGTTGATTCAAAGTACCATTTCTAACGAAATTGTTTGTTTTAATTTAAACGAAATTGAACATGTCGGATAACAGTACTTAACACGGGATAACATTTTCTCTGTTACCAACAACCATATTTGTTATCTATATGATAACCTAATTTCAGCAGTCTTTAAATATGAGGACCATCTATATTTTTAATGCTCAATCTTTTTTTCTTTATATTTACAGATTTACAGTAAACTTTATCTAGTATTATAAACAATCGGCAGAAAGTTTTTTATTAAACACAAAAATCATACACGCTGTCATTCACTAATTGAAAAATCTTGAAACATCTACAAATAAATATGGCGGATCTCAAGACCTCTTAAATTATCAAAACGAAAGTTACTTAATTTAATATCAATTATTTCGCATCAAATCAATGGTAATACAAGTAAATAAGGGTGTAACAATCTTTCATCAACTGCTTTATACTAAATTTAAAAGAAAACAATTGAAATAACTTACTTAAAAAGGATGATTTCAAGTCCGCAAAATGGAAATGCGTACTCAAAATGGTTACCGGATGTTATGTATCATATGTTGTTGGTCACGTGTTTTTCAGGTAAAATCTATGTTTACTAATGAGTGTTGTCATTCTCGATATCAGTTGTCAGTTGTTAAATAATTTCCAAACATATTGCTTCGGCAAATTTTTTTTCAGTACATATCGTATCATATTCACAAGCTAAAAAGTCCATATTTGTTATGGTACGTTGTGTTATGTATATTATATCATATTTGTTATGATATATATGTTATGCCAGTTATTTATGTTGTGTACCGTTTTCTTATATTTGATATGTTTGCGAAACCGGTATCAATTCTGGGTGCTTTATGCTTGTTTCGGAAGTGCTCCCTTATTTCCGTTCGAGATCCAAAATCACTATCTTTATTACATATTAAACATTCGAAAGTTGTCCTTCTGTGCAGTGTATGTTTTTATAACACTTTTTATTTTTCTTAAAATCTTCCTTTTTCAGTCTTCATACATGTCATATTGACCTACAGTATAATCCCTACTTAAGACCACCCCGGAATTAAGACCGCCCCGCTATTTAGACCATTTTTTGAATTTGCTGTTCTTTATGCCAAAGGTTACATGATCCAGAATTAAGACCACATCGCTTATCCACTTTTACGACCACTAGATTCAGTTCCAATTCTTTGTTTTGTTCTTTATTTGACCCCACTATTGAGACCACTGATTTAATGTCAACAACTATCTAGATCTTGAATTTTTAGTTATGTTGTTATTACATGTATCTGCTAGAACGCTCTTCGGCATGACACTTGATTTCACAAGGTGTCAAAAACATTGGGATATTTATGAAATAAGGTGTGAAAGTAAATATTAGAGTGTTTGAATGTTGCTTTAAGCACATTGATTATGCGAAGACTTAATTTCTTATTTTATGAGAAATATAAGAATTAATATTTAAATCAAACCAAATAGAATTTGATATTGAATTTTTTTCTTCCCATCAGATGTTAAATTATAGCATACTTTTATATTGTAATTGTATGTAAAGATACATATCGTTTGTTCATACAAAATGACTAAAATAGACCATGGCCAAAAAGTGTGTAAGCAATTATAAGAATATTCACAATTAAGAGCACCCCGCAATTAAGACCACTTTGGTCTAGTCCCGATGGTGGTCTTAATTGAGGGTTTTGTATGTAATATGTTTTGTATTGATTATACCCTGAGCATTTGCGTGATAATCACGTTCGCTACCATCGCAATACCCAGCATCTCATTGTAAAGCAATGTCTGTTGTTTTCTGTATTTCTTCATCAACAGACTTGCCTTGATCATTCAGTTCAAGTTCAGTATCCTTGACAACATTGCTAGTACTTTTATCTTCATCCGAGATACCCGTGAATTTATCTTCTCATTTTCAACACTATTTGCAACTCTAACAGCATCATAAAGATGAGCTTCCACGTGGACTTTCAGATGTTCTAAATTACCTGTAGTAAACATACACTTGGAACACGCAAATTATGAATTCGTTGTCGCTTTTCTGCTCTAGAACGGTCAAACTGATAATTTACCAACAGCATCAGTTGTCTTCACTGATTTCTCTGAAATAGAATAATTGATATGGTTATGCTCATTATCATAGTCATTGCAATCCTCCTTTTTATGTTCACCTTCACTAACATCCCTTTCATCGGGAGAAGAGTCAGCATTGTCTGTTGAATCAGTGTTTGTTTCTAAATATGACGTTATCACAAGCATATTGCTGTCATTATCGATAAACACGTTTGACTTTGATAAATTATTTCTGTCTAAGAAATAGGTGGAGTCATTAACAGAAACACTCTCGTCATTTCCACAATTCGGTGACTGAATGTTAGAATCTATTCCGCTGGCGTAACCTTCCGAAGAATCCACGTTACAATTTGTTTCAACACCGATCCTTTCGGGTAGATCCATTTCAGAATCTGATGGACAAGATTTAGATTTTAACAAACGCTTTCCCCATCAGAGACATTTTCGCTATCAGAATGATCAGTAAAATCCATGTCATAATCATGTTCATCTAAATGCTCTCGTAATTCCTTTAATGATTAAGCATATAATACACAAAACGCGCAACTCAGTAATTTGTATTTATGATCATTTGAATTACTGACAAACTTTAATTCTCTTGTAGTTTTTGTTTTTTTCTTTGTATTCTTTGGCCGAAGACATTCGACATTCTATTAAGAATACCATTGACACATATAATTTCTTTTTCAACATATGACTTGTCAGTATGTGTTCTTTCATTTTTTTTATTTTTTCGGCAGGCTTTTACAATTTGTCGGATAAACTCAAATTCGTTGCTTGCATTCATATTTGTAATACTACTGAAAGCTTCTCTAGAATGCGGTAAAAGAAATTTCAACAACATTATAATGTCTCCCCCTGTCGATTTGTTCTTTTAATTTGTCAATTGTTTTAGTTATGTCTTTACCATCTTGCGGATATTTTTATGTTAGAGTATTATCCAGCTGGCTTTTCTCTCTTGCTGCATTTTTGAATCTCCTCTCATTTATTTTCTTTGTTTGTGATCACGTCTAATATGCCTTTCATATTCTCAATATTTAAAAAGGGTCTGTTACAATATTTACAACTGTCCGGGGCGTTTTCATGTCTTTTCATGTGGCGAGAATGATCCGAGCAATGCTTGGTTTCATAATCACATTTCTTGCACTTATATATCCGAGGTTCATATACACGTGCAATTCCATGCACAGTCTCTTTGTGACCATTTAGGTGACCATGTGCAAAGAAAGGCATATTGCAGATATCGCACGGATAACGTGCTTCTTTATGCCTCTTAAGATGTCGTGAGAGATCCCTATATATTATGCAATATGGACATTTGTCACATTGTCTCATTTCTGTAATTTTGCCTGTACATTTCCTCATTTATTCTTCATATTCTTATTTATAACGCCTGCTTTAGTAAACTTAAAATTTTGTTTCTGATATGGGATGTTTGCGTTTATTTCGCAAGATATCAATTTTCCAACACTGCTGGTAGCAAAATGCAAAGTCTCAAAAAGCTACTACAACATAACATTCAGTATATGAAAAAGCTGCTTAATCATGCAAAACGTGTAGTTAGCAATTACTAAATAGATAATCATCCTATAATCTTAGGTAAAAAATAACCCTTTGGCGAGCATAATATTATTTTATCACACACCCGTGTTCTTTTGCGACTCTGTATTACCGGTACTGCGCTGCCATACACGTATTTTGACCTGACGTCATTTTCGTTATACAAACATAGCGGAAAGTTGCATTTAATTTAAGCGTTACAGTATATGCGTGTCGATGAAACTAATTCTTTTCACTGTAAGCAGTTTAAACTTTGGGCATGTGATAAACAGAATATTATTTTCTTTTAGCTTCATCACTAAATTTATTGAACATATTGTATATTTTGGGGGCGTCCGTGGCAGAGCGGGTAATGTCATTGACTTTAAACCAGTGGCCCACCCCTCACCACTGTGGGTACGAAGCCCGACAGGAACGTTGGATTATTTCATCTGAGGAAGCTGTCCAGCTAGCTTAGGATTCGTCGGTGGTTCTACTCAGGTGCCCGGTCATGCCTAAATAATGCACGGAAGGGCACCCTCCACCAGTAAAGATAGGTGTTACGTAACAAACAAGCTACATATTTTACAGTTTGTTATCCAATGTATTTTCTGCCTTTATTCAATTATTGTGAACAGAAATGTCACAGATCCCCGGACAAAAGCATTGTTGTTGCAGATAAATGTTATTTTAATGATTTCATCATAAATTTAAAGCAATGTTTGTTTAAGTTTTATTCAATTTTAGTACCTATAATTCTTCTTACTTACTTTTTCTCTATTACTCTTACATAAATATGCAAGTAATTTATCACAGCAAACCAGAGAAACATTTCATAAGAAACATAAAACACGTTAACATATTTCTTTTTTGATAAAAAATCTTACTAAAGAGCGTACACTTAAAACAATGCAGTATCATGAAATGAATTTAGTTAGACATGTTATAGTAGTATTAACTACTTAACTCTTAAGCAATACATACAAATATGTTTTACATTTTTTGAATTGGGGACCATACGCCGCTTTTCGTAGAATGGCACTAGCGTGTCACATAGAAGGTTCCAGGATTCCCACCGCATAAACACATGGACTGCGGATGTTTCTAAATTCAAAATTCCTCGATTTTCGTGTTAATATGCTGAATTCTGCTTAAGCCGGTGTTAAGGGTGTGGACGGTAACATACACGTCGTCACGGAGTACATTGACAAGGCTAAAACGTCATATTAACATGACGTTCTACCTCCTTGACATAGTACCCATTCTATTTTACAGATATATGAAATTATCTGGTCCATTACCGGTATAAGTGTTGTCAACCATATATGTTGTTTGTGATTGTGAAATACATAATCAATATATAGCAGGTAATGAATTAATCATATAAATGTTCATACTAAATCACTTAGAAATCTATCAACTTTATACTCGATAAGAATATAAGATTGATACATTTCTATTGCTTATATCAATAATTTAAGTTCATTTTGGACCAATCCACTTCCAATGCATTTCTTTGTACCTAAATGTTTATTTTTTCTTTAACTGCAAAAAATGATTGCTTGCAAATATTAAAGGCATATTTGATTTGGTCTCAAATTTTTTTTTAGAAATGTCAAACATCTATTAAATAATGCTTAAATAATGGGTTAAGTGCATGTTAGATGTTTTACAACTACAAAATGTTGGAATAAACATGCAATTATGTGTCGTAAAGGCAGAGATATGTCAACAAAGTAGTATTTTGACTTCCATTCAAAACACTCATTCACTATAATTGTATCAATTTCTAACAGGACTAAAGATGCAAAAGATAGGTCATGTTTATCGCAAATGAGTATGTTTTTGGAAACTGTAACAAATTACCAACAATAAACAGTTTTGTAGAAATTAAAATTGTAGCATAATGGGCCTT